TGGATCAGTTAATGTGAACAGTCCTTTCCGAGACACTGAAAACACATTACAAACTCTACTACATCCAATTACATATGCATCATTACATTTTTTATTTTATTTAAAAATCATTTTGCATTCATGTGGCATTCTCATATTTAGTTAGAATTAAGTACAAAAATGTAACAGATTTTATTATTTTTTTTAAACAAGAATCGTTACACCTTTTCTATTTTTTGCAACTTGTGTCTAACAACAGTCGTGAACAGCAGGCAAATGGCTAGATTTGTAAACCCTCCTTCTGGCCTCTTTTGACATAATCCCTATGAAGTGGTCTGTTATCAGTCTGTAACCCGATAGTCATCTGTCACACCTTTCACCCAAACTAGTTGAATAGCATTTCCTGTCAGACTTCCCCCTTCAGCCTTGAATAACACAGAACAAACTCCCTCACCCCGTGTGCGTGCCTTCATTCCACTGTTACGCAACTCACACCGCCTTTGATTATACAATGAAGATTACTCTACACACCAAGCATCCTCAAGTGCACCAAAATGTCGTCCAAGCCAGAGGACGCATCACGATATTTGCATTCCCAATGGCGATTTACGAGACACAGATGGCGATATATCTCACAGCGGTCCCTGTTTGCTGTGACCCGCTTCGATAAAAGCTCTTTCTGTGTCACGTCTATGAGGGAATTTCCCCACCCGTGGTTTCTTTACTTGAACTAATGTTGCTGACTGTAAATGCCTGGAGTTCCCTGCTCTGTTTTACAGGCTTGGTGGTCTTGACGAGCAGGACTGATTTATTGGTCCTCCTCGGTATCGACTCAGCCGCTCGATAATATAGATGAGCACTCTGCACTGTTGCAGAGATTTAATTTGGCTATGCTGTGAGATAAAACGCATCGATCCGGTGGCACCGTTCGGCCTGATTTGATTGGTCGCTGCAGCAGCTCTGTTATCTGATTGGCTCTGACGCTGCCTTTTGATGATGTGCTCCTATTTGCATGCGTTTGCATAATTTATGAAGGGAATGCAAGACGGCCGGCTCCAATGTTTGAGGCTAAATGTTAGTCAAAAACGAGCTTTAGGAGAGAGCAGGTAGGTGTTACATCACATGGTGGCACAGTTTAGAAATAGAACAAAACCTCACCTCTCAAAAACGAGCAAGAACTGAGGAGACGACAAGCTATCCTTCTCGCTAACAAACCACATCCTTTGACTGCAACGGGGAAACACTTTCCACTTCACTTCTCTATATAAATGAGGATGTGATCTGGAGTGGCAGACACAGAGGTCGCCAGGAAATGGGTCACTTTTTTAGAATTAGCCCACTTGTGGTTACGCAGCATTTCAATGTGGAACTGAAAATATGTTTGTGCTTGGGGATGCTGTTTTCTGGAGGAAGTACCGAATGCTGAGCAGATATAGTGATATAGAGTGTTTCATGAATAAACAACCTTAAAGTTGACCAGTTTCTTGTGAATGAAAAATGTTGTTTGTTCATAATAATGCACAAGCCTGATTGACCAAATCTAGATTAATTACTCCAATCGCTTGGTTGCTTCATTTCCATTGAATGCTTCAGTAAGCTATGGTATGACACTGAATAGGTCACCTTTATTAGGCTTGTGTCTCTACTGCCAAAAGGTACAAATGGCATCCTTTTGGTGGGCGTGGTTTAGGACAAAAAATTGCAGTCGACGTCATTCTCGCTCAAAAAAAAAATGTCAAAGTAAAGCTTTGCAGGTCGTTCACATATCATATACAAAACAGATGCTTTATACACATAAACAGGCCAACTTGTGTATAAATGTTAATAACTAAACTTTCTATGAACATGATTGGACTATGGCTGCAGATCAATGATAATTCGAAATAGTATTGTAACGTCTGAGATTTTATATATTTATATATACTGTATAAGGGTTGTCGCAATACCATTAATTCACATTACTATACTATACCAGCTAAAGTATTGTGATACCAAGTATAATTGCGCTACTGCAATTCATAACTCAAATCTATAAAATAAAGTAAATTGTTAAATACTGTATATTATGTTATAATAGGTGTACTTGATTTAAATTTATAATTCCCTTATTATTGAAAACAGTATTTGTACAGCACTTCCCACTAAAATGCATTAGTTCTATTTGTTTATTTTGTAGATAACTGACCAACAAAAAATACAATAAAATAAAGATACAAATTATACAGAACAATTTTTTTTTACAAAACGAGCAAATTAGGCTATATGAAACGGTCAAAAATTGTTTTTAACTTTTTCTGTAGCTCTTTTGGGTTTTCATCTATTGTTTTTTTTTTCAGTCTTATTAGATAAGAATTCAAAGTAATTCAAAATTTCACTGTGAGTTGTTCTTTTTAAGAGATTGTTGCGGTTTTTGTAGCTAGTAAATCATATTGACAGAAACAGAAATTAACTGATTCAGATGTACGTTCGAATTGAAGCATCAGAAAACGTGCAATAGGCTACCATAAAAATTGTACAAAGCTTAGCAACTTTAAAGGGCTCCACAGACTTTTCAAATAAAATGGTCTATTGTTGCAGAAACGTGTGAGCATTTTAGTCACTTTATTGTAGATAGGCTGTTAATGACAATACTACCGTTTACAAACTACAGTGGTACAACCAGTATTTTGGAGCCATAGAGTCACCATACTACCATAGTACTGCTAAACTGTGCAACATACACAAACACACACACACACACACACACACACACACACACACACACACACACATATATATATATATATATATATATATATATATATATATATATATATATATATATATATATATATATATATATTTATGACGTGACGTGCTGACTGACTGGCTGAAAGGCCAGCAAACACGACGTATAGCCGTTTCACTTTACTTCAGGATGTATTAATGCTACTCTGTAGGTCTATTAGAGTAGTGGTCCTCAACCTTTTTCTTTCTGGGGGGAGGGGTGAAACAAGCGTGTGCACGTCTAGAACGTGCTAACGTAAGATGTCTGCTTTAGCCAATCAGAACAGTCAGACGCGTTCACGTCCGCGCAGATTATGAGAATAAAAGCCTTTGAATATTTTTCCAGACACATTTAGCTGATAAAAATTAGTCAGATAACGTTTATATGTTCATCTTAATGCCAACCGTGTAAATAATTATCGATAAGATGCTTATGATAAGCCGTTGTTTGTTTACCTTCAAGCTTTGCGTGTGACCGTGAAACAGCCCGTGAGCGCCAGGACACACATATCATGTACATCTTGACATGGCAACAGGGTTTTCAGCGCTGTGTTAGCGATCTCTGGGTATTCTGCCATTACTTTAATCCAGAACACCGGCAGAGTAGTTGTCTTGAACACTGTTTTAAGGCCGCTGTCATTTACGATCTCCAGCAGTTGGTCTTCTTTTTGCACGGACATTCTGGATTCAGCTGGTTTGTTGACAAATGGGTCACGTATCCATTCCCTAGCCGTTTGTGGGTCCTTTGAGGTTGGGAAGTAGCGCTCAAACTCCTTCAACAGTGAATACTGATGATCGTGCACCAGCTTGGTGAGTGAGGGCGCAGGCTTAGTCTCACACAAAATCCCCGCTAATGTTTGAAACATGTCCAATATGCCTCAGTTTGGCTTTAAATGTAGCGACTTTATCTGCCAACTTAAAGATAATTAATTCTTGTGCGGCCCGGTACTGATTGATCGTCCGTGGCCCGGGGGTTGGGGACCACTGTATTAGAGACATTCATAAACATTCCTAGCAAATCTAATAAATGCTGGAGACATCCTCGTTACATAAACGCACTAAATCGCACTCAGCAGCATTTGTTTGAGAGCGCACAAGAAGATCTGCGCGCTCTTGAAGCGACTTATATTTGAGGTCGCGTGCAAGATGTTTTGTGCACAAGCAGAGGAAATCGTTAAGCAGAGATTCACATGCTCGTACATGTAGGTAATTACATAAGTGCGATCTTGACTTCTAATACTGCACTCAAGACATTTGTCAATGAAATAACGCCACAGGTATTTGGTGATTATCTGTGTAAAAAAAAAAAAGGCCTGCCGCCACAGCTGGAAAAAAATCCTAGAGAAAACACTGTGCTGTATTGTTACACATTTCAGGGATTTTTAAAATCTGTTTAAGTTATATAATGCAAAATAAAAATATCTTATTTTAGGTGTGTAACAATTTAAAAGAGCTTTCATACATCAAAAAAAAAATAAATAAATAAAATAATAGTGTAGCTTTGTTTCTTTTTTTAGACAGTAAAATGTATCCAGTTGTATTTATCTGAGAAATTAAGTGTTTTACATGTTTTGTTTTCTGCTTCAAGAAGTCTACCGTTCAGCAGACATGTTAAAATTGTGGTTAAATATAGAGCATGCTATTTGAAGAAATTCAGCCAAAAAACAGAGCAGTGTCCTTGAGAATGAAATGTGTTAACTGTTCCCTTTATATCACAATAAATCGAACAGCTTAACCATGTAAAAAAACTGTCAAATCTAGGTCAGTTTTAATTTCAACTAAACCCTCCTGTGCTAAAATTGTAAATGCATCTCAATGTGTGAACTGACATTTTGGCAGCTCTGTAAGGCCAGTCACATTGAATCTGAGTCACAAACTCAAGTAAACACAAGTATTTTGTAGTAACTCTCATGTAAACATTTTCAGTGGCAGAAGCTTTTTTTTTGTTCTGCAGTTCAGTTTGATGCAACAGCGCCCCCTTAGTATAATGGACACTTTTGGAACTACAACTTGTTATTCAGCCATGCAGGGCTGTGAAGCCCTTGGTAACCTCTGGCAGCACACTACACACTCAGGTTCCTGCTGACAAAGAGAGCTTTTACCCCCTTATTGCACTGTAAAAAAAGAGGCTTTTTATACACACTCCGAGTCCCCTGAGTGGAAAGCAGAAAGTCTGGCAATATCCATACCTCTTCTGTTGACGCTTTTAGTGTCATTCCGTTTCTGAGATTGTTTTTGTCCTCTTTTTCTCTCAGGCTAGTGTCCTGTGTGCTGACCTCATGGTGTAAGCAAGTGTGAAGATGAGTATTAGCAGCGATGAGGTCAACTTCCTGGTGTATAGATACCTGCAGGAGTCAGGTAGGTGGCGCTACCACACTAATCACCACCAACATTTTACAAAAAAACGCTCTTTCCTGAATATTAAATAATAATAATAATGATAACAATAATAAATAATGATGATTACTAACCCTTAAGTGGTTCTAAACATTTACGAGAGTCTTACAAAGATATTTTGAAGAATGTTGGCTTGCATAGTAGGAAATATGTACTATGAAAATCAATAGCTATGTTTATATATTTTAGAATATTACATTATTATTAATAATAAAAAATAATAATATGACATGCACATCCACTGCATTGGAAAAACATTTTGTCAATACAGTCTTCAATATGTTATCTGATTTTGCCTCAACAGAGGATGCCATTGGATAACTAGACTAACCAGTTAATCGTTGTCGTCTCGGGTTGTTTTTATAATTCTGCAAATATAATTCTGCATAATGACCAAAAAAACAGACATTTTTCACAAAGTATAACTTTGGATGGAATCATACCTAGTGGTGGCAGGTTTCCAACATTCTTCAAAATATCTTCTGTTTGTCACTACTCAAATCATTTTGGAAAATGTGGAGCGTATGTAAATGAACAACGTTTTAATTATTTGGGACATTTTCCCATTAATAATGATTAAAAAACACACCAAAATGTTTTCATATTTGATTGATAGACCTATCACTTATTCCTTTTGATTCATAAGCCTCTATCAGCATTGCTTACAGTACAACTCTATGGCTGTTCACAGTCAGGGCGTTGTTTAAAGGAGCACACATGATACGCTCTGTGTAGCTGTGAGCAGAAGAGAAAGTTGATCCAGCAAGCGTCACACTGAAGTGTTTATCATTCCCTCTGGCAGGGTTTTCCCACTCGGCCTTCACATTCGGCATTGAGAGCCACATCAGCCAGTCGAACATCAACGGCGCCTTGGTGCCCCCTGCTGCCCTAATCTCCATCATTCAGAAGGGCCTGCAGTACGTGGAGGCTGAAGTCAGCATCAATGAGGTGACCGCGCAGCTTTATTTACATCATTATTTGAGGCATCTATTGAGTTATGATTATTAATTATTTTATTGTTTATATTTTTATGCTGAATCTCACATCATGCAGGAGATTTTTAATTAAAATTCATATAAAAATCGTTTTCAATTTTGTAAAATAAATGAAAGTGTTTAAACATATATTGTTTTTATTAAATCTATTTTTTATTTTAGTACATTAAATAAAAATGAGAATTATTCTTAGGAGGTAGCTAATATACTTTATATACTTTTTTTTTTTTTTTAAAGTAGAACAATCTAATGCATCAGGCATAAATAAAATGGACATGATATATTTATATGTAATATTCACTTAGCCAACTTTTTTATATTTTTCCCCAATTTTTGTAAAATGGAAAGATTTTTGAACACATTAACATAATAGTTTTAATAACTCATTTCTAATAACTGATTTATTATATCTTTGCCATGATGACAGTAACTAATATTTTACTAAATGTTTTTCAAGATACTAGTATTCAGCTTAAAGTGACATTTAAAGTCATAATAAGGGTAATTAGGCAAGTTATTGTATAATAATAGCTTGTTCTGTAGAAGACTGTAAAAATGCTAATCAAAATAGTTAAAAAAAATTAAACTGCTTTTATTCTAGCCATTAAACAAATAAAACAAATAAGACTTTCTCCAGAAGAAAAAATATTGTAGGAAATAGTTTTTTTTGTTTTTGCTCTTTTAAACATCATTTAAGAAACATTTGAAAAAGAAAAAAACAATTCCCAGGAGGGCTAATAATTTTGACTCCAACTGTAAATGTGATCCCTAAACGATTAGATTTTTAAATTATGATTGAATTATGGCTTCTAAATAGTGTTTAAGTAAGCTCTAATTAAAAGTACTAGTGTTAATAAGGATAGGTTTCATTGTCATAATATAAAAGTAATATAAACTTTGAAATCTAGGTCAAACCTAAAAAGGGGCGTTCAAGCATCTAATCTATAACATTTTCAAATGGATTAGATTTTTATTTTGTTTTGGGGATTTCCTGTACATTAGAATTTAATTTATAATAAATTCACTATTTTGACCATTTTAGAATTTTTAATTACAGAAATATTTTGTGCTAAATATTATATATAATATTTGAGTAATAAACAAAAATATAATATATAATAAAATATTGTCAGGCATATTTATGTCAAGAATCATTTGATGACACTCACTCACACTAGGATAACAGTCAGGCCATAAAATACCTTTTCCTTTTCATTTTAATTCTTTATGTCTTACCATAATACTTCAAACCACTAGGTGTGACCCATTTGTCTGCAATATTATTAAAATATTTATTATTATTAAATGTTATTAATATTATGCAACATTATTAAAATGTTTATTAGATTTTTTCCCTTCACACAAATTTGAAAAATAAGTTTCTTAGATTAGAATTATTTTTTGTAAATTTAATATGACGCAGACACCAAAACTTGGCTGTCTCATTTGACCCTTTTGTTTGGGGTGAAGGGGAGACTTTCTTGAAATGGTTCAGCATGTCTGACTCTTTGACTTCTTTCTGCAGGACGGCACTCTGTTCGATGGGCGGCCAATTGAATCACTGTCATTGATTGACGCGGTGATGCCCGATGTGGTACAGACCCGGCAGCAGGCGTACCGAGACAAACTGGCTCAGCAGCAGGCCGCCGCAGCGCCATCAGCAACCAGCGCTAACATGCAGGGGAATGCCAAAAACGGAGAAAACACCGCAAACGGAGAGGAGAACGGTGCTCACGCCTTACCTAGTGAGTCAGCTCTAGTCTGCGGTTTAACTTTGTACACAACACTCTTTTAGTCCGGCACTATTTGCAGAAGTTGCATAATACTCTGACATCTGCATCTTTCACGCACACAAACTAGTCAGTGCTTAGTATAATTAGTTACAAAATCACTGTAACTTTTAATCTTAATTTAATTGGACTTTTTAAGGGTTATTACGGCATTTTAGGTAATTTACTTATATTTAATTATGCTTGTTTAAATACTTTACTTAAATTCAACAGGTCTGTTTTAGGCTATGTTCACACTGCAGGCAAATGTGGCCCGAATCTGATTTTTTCCCCCTCATGTGACTCAGGTGATGACAGTGTGAACAGCACACACCTCATGGAATCTGATCTTTTCAGGTCAGATCTGTGCCACTTTCATATGTAGCCTTAAATTAGAGACCGATCTGGTGTTTTGCAATGCGGCCGCAGTGTGAACGGTTATGTCAGATTCCATGTGACTTTTACATAATCTTTGAGCGACATGCATCATCATTCTGTGCTGCAAACATCATCTATCCCTCAGCAGCACAGCAGAATGGCACACAGGGCGATCACTTTACCACAGAGAGTTGGTTGTTCATGTTGAAAAAGATTTTGAAGGCAAAACTGATGCTTTTTAACTAATTTGGCTAACGATTGAGGCACGGGTTAAACGCGAAGCCGAAGAGCATCGTGGGTGTTGCGGATAGGAGACCCGTGTGCAAAGGAGGGACAACTTTCTCAGAGAGAAAAAAGGTTAGGTGCTCGAATACCCAAACCCCCCTTCTGCACGTGTCTGTTGTTTATAACGAAGTAAAATGAAATAACTGCGAACAGATAAACCAACTTCGCCTTCACAGTTCAGTCTGCGGCTGCTCATTAACCCCTGATGAGTTCACTATACACCGGTGGTCAGAGCGCCACGCACTGCGGCTGTCATAAATCACAAATGATCAGTGTTTTCTATCACAGGACTCTTATTTTAGGTCTCAAATGCCGAAATACACATTAGTAGTAGCAGAACAACCATTTACAGTTCATGAAATACAGCACGGTTGTCTGTGAAAAGGGTAATAATCATATAAGCATGATCTGAAAACGTGCTTACTCATGCAGCATACACATGTATGCCTAATTAGACATTTTGTGCTCTCCGTAATGTAATTTTGCGCATGCGGGTCAGTTTAGGATCATGATCTGTTCACACTGCAAATCCGATATTGGCCACATTTATAAGAGCAGTGTGAACAGCCATGCAAAAAAAATCTGATCTGAGAAAAAATCTGATTTGCGCACTAAGCCTTGCAGTGTGAATGTAGCCTAAATCAATGCGGAGTAATTGTATTTTTTGTTATCTAAAAGCTGTAAAAAAGATAACTAAAGACAACTACATTTATGGCGATGCAGTGGCGCAGTAGGTAGTGCTGTCGCCTCACTGCAAGAAAGTCGCTGGTTCGAACCTCGGCTTGGCACAGTTGACGTTTCTGTGTGGAGTTTTTTTTCCCAGAGATGGGTTGCGGCTGGAAGGGCATCTGCTGCGTAAAAACATGCTAGATAAGTTGTCGGTTCATTCCGCTGTGGCGACCCCGGATGAATAAAGGGACTAAGCCGAAAAGAAAATGAATGAATGATAGAATGAACTACGTTTATCAAACCAATTGCATATGATACAGAAAAAAACAGAGAATTTAGTTTATGACAACATAAGGAATACATCCAGTGAACCACAGTAATTCTATATGTTTTTTCAGGTATTTTGCATAATCCAATTTTCAGCTAAAGAAGGATAGAATCATCTGACTATTATAAATGCACAAGAAACAATGAAATGTTATCAAAAATTAATGTTAATATTGGTATGAAATATTGTGCCAGTACATTACAAATTTAAGTGTTAGTTTAGTTTTAAAACAAAACTAAAAGGATTTGATTTTATTAGTTTTTATTATAGTTTTAGTATTGTGTCAAGTTACTTACTGAGTAAGTTACTAATTTACATTTCATTCATTCATTTTCTTGTCGGCTTAGTCCCTTTATTAATCTGGGGTCGCCACAGGGTATTGAACCGCCAACTTATCCAGCAAGTTTTTACACAGCCGATGCCCTTCCAGCCGCAACTCATCTCTGGGAAACATCCACACACACATTCACACACACACTCATACACTACGGACAATTTAGCCTACCCAATTCACCTGTACCGCATGTCTTTGGACTGTGGGGGAAACCGGAGCACCGGAAGGAAACCCACGCAAAGGCAGGGAGAACATGCAAACTCCACACAGAAACGCCAACTGAGCCGAAGTTCAAACCAGCGACCTTCTTGCTGTGAGGCGACAGAACTACCTACTGCGCCACTGCCTAATTTACTTTTCAGACAAAGTAATTTAAATACAATGACTAACAAATGACTTTTTTTTCAACATCACTCTTAACGATGCATATGACATCCGTCTGTACAGATAACCATGCAGACATGATGGAGGTGGACGGGGATGTGGAGATCCCTCAGAATAAAGCCATGGTGCTTAGAGGTCACGAGTCAGAGGTCTTCATCTGCGCATGGAATCCCGTCAGTGATCTGCTCGCCTCTGGGTAAGTTAAACCAGGACATTTTTGGTTCCCATCAGCCTGTTCATGCACACTGCATGTTCACAGGGATGCACTGATTCGATACCTGGATCTAATAAGAACCTTTTTAATGGGATCACAATCAGTCAGCTATAACAATTTCATCATTCAGTACTCCGGGTTACACGTAGGCATTTCTGTCGAGCTTTAAAAAGCTAGAGAAGTTTATTTTGACACTCCAGCAACACAAAATAATACATATTACAAACAGATCAGGATTGTTTGAGTATTGATTGAATTAGATAATGATGCACTCCAATATGGTAATTACATCTACAATGTTCTTGTAATAATTTACTTTATGATGACAGTGACATTGTAAATATAATTTAGAGAGATATTCTATATAATTACCTATTAGATTCTTTTATACTACAGCTACCATAGGTCAGGACATTTGTCGGTAACACTTTGGGCCCTATCATACACACGGCACAATGCGGGGTAAGGCGCGACGCTATTGTTGTTTGCTAGTTTCAGCTCGGCACAAGAGTCGTTTTGACGTTTTGCGCCACGCTGTTTAAAAAGCAGATGCATTTGCGCTCATATGTGCGACCATAGGCATTCTGATCTAAAAAAGGAGGCATGTTGAGGCGCATTGCTGGCACGTTGCTATTTTGAGAAACTATGATAGATTGTTCAATAGACCAGAACAAAGACAGTCTAAAGTCCAGCGCAGAGTGCGTTAGTTGTGCGCCTCGCTTTTACATTGCTTAATACAGACAGGGTGAATGGCAATTTGCAAATATCTTTACATGTGAAAAGAATTAAAATATTAAGGATATATACAGGATATAAAAAGGATATATATAGGATATAAATATAAAGGATTAAAATATTACAAAACATATTATTTTAGCCTACATAAATATAAAAACCATACTTTCATGCCTTCTTCATCTCGGGAGGCTTTTTCAGTTTGTTCATAACCATTTGCTTTTGTGTAATGTTATCATTATTAGCAGTATTATTTATTATATGCATATTTATATATTTTTTTTATTAAAAACAAGCTTAGATTTGCCCTCCTGTTTTACGGTTTTAGACCATATGGGGCACAGCATGTGTATTAGGATATAACTCACGTTTTTGACCACACTTCATTATTATTGTTTGTATATTAATTTGCTGGAAATTAGAACTGAATTTAGAAATAGTTTTGAAACAAATGTTTGCGCTTAACAAACAAAATTTATTATGTATAGGCTAATGAATGTCTGTGCGCACAAGAAGTTTCCCTATCCACGAGAGCGAAAGGGAAAGTAAATAATAAGGAGGCTCATCTCTCATTCTCGCGCTGTAGATGCTCTGTTTAACTGTTTTCTTTCTAGTAAAGCGTTCAGTTTTTCCATTTTCGATGGAAAAATGATTGGTTTATTCTCTAAACACACCTACAACTCAATAAGAGGATAAGCTCAACCCTGTTGGACCTTGCGCTGTGGCTGGCACAAAGTGGATTTTTCCGTCACTAAAATTGCAAAAGTGGATTCTGCCACACCCTTATCGCTTTTGTGTCCTGCACTTTGCGCATGGATCGTCAAAATAGAGAATTCATTATCATAAATAGAGTGAATTCATTATCTGTTAAGCATTAATTAACGTTAGTAAGCAGTTTATAACTGAAGCTACAAATGCTGTATTCTTGACTATTTATTTTGCCTTGACTTTATTAATATTTATAATGCTTTTGTATTGCTGATTCCAAAATGTATCAGTGGCTTGAGAAGAGAGATTTTCCACGTGTGAATAAACTATATATGTCAGCTAATACTTACTAACGTGAAATAGAGAATATATTCCACAATCTACAAGTCTTAGAAAGATTTTCCCTAAATTGAGGACTCGAAAAAAGATCTTAAATCAGACCAGCAAGGCTCTAAATTATGTGAGTTGTTTACAGGTGTAATTTTTGCAGTGATATCATTGATGCTTTACTGTTAACCATGATTGAGAATGAGTTGTATTACTGCTTCATTCTGGGATGTTAACATACCTTAGATCTGTGTTTTCCAACCCTGTACTGGAGGCACACCAACAGTACATTTTTTGGATGTCTTCCTTATCTGAACTATACATTTCAGGCTTTGAAGTCGCTTCTAATGTTCTGATGAGTTGATTCAGGTGTGTTTGATTAGGAAGAGGTTGGAAACGTGAACTGTTGGTGTGCCTTCAGGAACATGGTTTGGAAACACTGCCTTATATTTACAGATTGACCCATATTTGTAGGTCTGTGGGATGCAGTGTGTATATAATATAATGTGCGCATGTCAGGGAACTGCTACCAATATTATGACTTTCACTTTTGGATTCCACAAAGCAGCAAGTTTTTATAGCACTGTCACAACAATCGTCCAATCAGAATCAATCCTACAGCCAGTCGTGAAAAAGGGGAGTTCATGAAATCACTTGTCTAATAATCTGTCTGCTTACAGGTCAGGAGACTCAACGGCACGAATCTGGAATCTGAGCGAGAACAGCAGTAGTAGCTCCACACAGCTCGTCCTGAGGCACTGCATACGGGAAGGTGGCCAAGACGTGCCCAGCAACAAAGACGTCACATCGTTAGACTGGAACGTGAGTTCAGCCCTCACTGTTTGTAAATCTCAGGGTATTTTCAAAAAACTGATGTCTCCTTCCCTTGTGTTTTCCAGAGTGAAGGTACACTTTTAGCCACAGGCTCCTATGACGGCTTTGCAAGAATATGGACTAAAGATGGTAAGCAAACAGTTTTTTTTCTTTTCCTCTCCAACCTGATTTTCTGTCAGTCAATTCGGCTCAATAAAGGACAACCGTTTATTTATAGGTAATCTGGCCAGCACCCTAGGTCAACATAAAGGTCCAATATTCGCGTTAAAGTGGAACAAAAAAGGAAACTTTATCCTCAGTGCCGGTGTTGATAAGGTAAGAGGAATTATATAAGGTATCGACCCAAAAAATCTATAATGTCATGACCCTGATCATGTGTTTTATTCATGTACGATTGGCATACTCTTATAGTTTTTTGCTGATTTGTAAATTTACATGAATTTTAAACTTGTTGTTTTTATCCACATAATATTTCTTTGATTTAGTTTAGCATTTCACCTTTATTTAAAACGGCCGGAATAATTAGCTTCCTTTTATCTGTAAGTGTATCTCAACATTTAGTCAGTTTTCTCTTGTACTTTGGGCCTTTTGCGATTGAGATGCATTTTAGTCAACTGGATTAGGGCTGCAAAGTTTATCGATTTTAAATTGAAAACTCACCTTTTGAAAAGGTTTGATTTTCAAATCACAAAAGCTGCGATTATTTAGATTATTGCTATAGTGAGGGAGGCGAGCAAGAGATATTAAAACGACCCAACTAAACTAACAACAACTAACTAAAAAGCAGACAAATAATACAGCAGAACAACAAGCCCCTATTTCACTGCAATGGAGAAAACGAAAGCTCTAAACTTCATCTTTGCGTGTGTGGACCGATGACCTGCTTGCGTGAGGTAGCGTGTTACTCTGAAGTGTGAGCTTTCTCCACCGCGTCTGTTATGGATCAGCTGTGAATAGACGTTAGCTAACTGCAGTTTATCCTTATCCTAGTCACTTAATGATGAATAACGCCAGAGTCGCGCTAACCTTTAGAGCCAATCGCATCCCTTTCTGTTGAGTGCAGGAACACTGTGACCAATCACATTGTGTGATTTAACAACTCGCTCAACAATGCTCAAAAAGCATGCGGTATAATATTTACATTTATTTATTTGCTTTAAATGCTCATGCTATTCTGTGCATGGACTTGAGCTTTGTTTGATTGTTCAAAGAGTGTTTTCAGGTAAAATTAAAAGTACAGTTCATATATCTGACTGCTGTGTTACAGGTAGGGTTGTAACAATATACCGGTATGACGGTTTACCACGATTTGAACGTGCACGATTATCATACCATGAACAATTGCATATCAACGGTTTTAACCCTTAAAGAACGAGACAGCCGCCCGCGGCTAAAAATAAGTATTGCTCTTAAATGTTTAATAACTTTTGATCCGCTGATCCGATTCATACAATTCAAAGATTGGCATAAAGAAGAGAATCTCAGCTTTCCAGTGCTGTGTCACACGCGGACTTTCAGAGGCTCCGGAATCAGTGCGGTTACGTCATCAACATTTGACAACGCTGATTTGACAAAGAAACGCTCGTCACTGTGTCTCCGGACAAATCAGACATGATACATTGATGCATTATCCCTCCTCCATGCCCAGATTGGTTCAAACTCGCTATATCACAACCAATAAGCATAGGTTTCGCTTTTGTTTGTGGACCAAGCTTTTTGAACAACACGGAATGAGAGATAGGCATACATTTATGCGCGGCTAAATAAAACGCAAAAAAAAGTTTTGCATGAAATAATTCTCATACTAAGTACTTTTGCATGCACAGCAGCACAGAAACATGACAAAACAGTGACACAGCAAAGACGAACTGCTGCTCTTGCGGTTTTCAAAAGACGCAAATGAAGGTGCAGCTGTTTGTCTGCATTGCAAACAACCATTTCCAAATCCATATCCACAGACAACCATATCCATACTGGCACATAAAACCTAAGGATGTTCCATATTGAATCTAGTTTCGTTATGTAACTATTTATAGTATAGTAAATATTTATATCTATTTTTTACTGAGGATTTGCACCATGTTTATTTGGACTTTATTTGGACTTTGACACATTATTTATTATTTTCTTATTTTTTTATTTGTTCATTGTAAGTGGTGTTGTTTATAGTAACTGAAAATATATTATTTGGAAAAAGTCAAATTTGCTTCACTGTTCTATTATTTTGTAACATTTGTAACATACCGTATACCGCGAAACCGTGGTATTGTTTTAGACGATTATCATACCGTGAAAAATTCATACCGTTACAACCCTAGTTACAGGACAAAACTGTATTACAAATAATATAATATTTATTACAAATAATTCACTACTTACTGCTTTTTTATATATTTATTATCTGTTTATTGTCCTGTCTCTTTAATTCTGTTGCACTGTAGAAGCTCTGTCACAAATTCCTCATATGTGCGAACATCCCTGGCAATAAAGCTCTTTCAGATTCTGATATATATATTTAAAACAAGAATTCTTGTGCTGTGAAGTAAAATCTAAAGTTGATTATTGTAAGCATTGTCAATGCACCATGAAAGTCATGAAATTTATTTAAAAAAATGTAACAATCTAAAGGATTTAAATATCTATCTATACACAGGGTGTCCGCGGGGTCTTAAAATGAATTAAACGTTGATAAATCAGTTTAGAGAAATTTAAGGCCCTTAAAAAAACATTAAAAAATTGTGAAATGCTTTTTGCAAGGTATTACATTTTGTATCAGTATGCTAAAGTTTGCCTGAATTTAATCTGTGACTATTAAGAAGCGGTGTAGTTTATGAAATCAATATTATTCTGCTGGATTTGCGATCACACTGCTTCGTTTAATGCAGTAACCAAAGCAACACCATTATTCCTGCTGCTGTAAAGGCGCCACCTGCTGGATTAGCATTTTTATTTAGTATAGGGATAATATTTTAGTTTAAGATTAGGTTCTTACAATCAGTATTTAGGAAATATATTAAGTTCAATTGTCGCCAATGTTACCATTGAATCCTAAAGTGGCAATGAGGTTTTAAAATTTATGGAAAGAGTCTTAAAAAGGTCTTAAAAGGTATTATATTTCACTTTCTGATTCCTGTATATACCCTGACATAATTTATTCAATTTAATGTAAAATACTGTAGTTATGTTCTTAAACGGCTTAACAATAGCCCCTTTCACACAGTGATACCGGTAAATATATAGAAAATTTCCGGAACGACTTTACCGGTATATTCAAAAAAGCGATGTTCACACAGGCGAGGACGTTACGGAATTTTTCCAGAAAAGACCGTTCATACATCTATTCCAAAATACCGGTAAATTGTGACATCATTCACCACAAATGAGCTTAAAACGGCCACGCTTGTATTTGTAAACATTTGACTACATCACAAACTCTGTGGATGATCAGTATTGTCAACAACTTCCATGAAAACATAAAGAGAAACACTTTCACATGTCGAGATGTTCATAATATGTGGGTGTGCAGGCGCTCACAGGCTGTTTCACAGGCACACGCAAAGCTTGAAGGTAAACAAACAGCGGCTTATCATAAGCATCTTATCGATGATTATTTACACAGTTGGCATTAAGAAGAACATATAAACGTGATCTGACCAACTTCTAGCAGCTAAATGCGTCTGGGAAAATATTCAAAGGCTTTTATCCTCATAAACCGCGCGGACGTGAACTGTTCTGATTGGCTAAAGCAGACGTCCCACGTCAGCACGTTCTAGACGTGCACGCGCTCTTTCCGGCAATCTTCCTTCTGCATTCACACAGCGCAGCATTCCGGCAAATTACCGGTATTGTTACAACTTCTCTTTCTGGAAAATAGCCAGAATGAATTTACCGGTATTTTCAAAAAGGACATTTTCCAGAAAGGTATGTATGTGTGAAAGGGGCTAGTGGCAATGACAACTTTTTTTTGTAAAAATGGTTTTAAATAAACAGTAGCATAGTGTAGCACCTTTGTGATTATATTTGGTCTTTCTTTGGTGCTGTTAAACCCACCAAACAAAACCTGCAGCTCTTTTATCAAATAATACTAAGTCGCATTTTAAATAGCAAATCGTAATTTTGATCAGGTTTTTTTTCACCAAATTGTGCAGCCCTAAACTAGACGACAAGTTTCAGTAAATAAAAAAAAAACTTGTTAAATTACAAAAAAAAAACATAAACAAAAAAAACATCTACTTTCTGCTAAGATTTTAATTCAATTAATGATTCCTCCAGTATATAATACTGTAATACACTGATGATTGATGCCAACAGCTAATCTAAAGATCAGCCTGTTGCATGATTTAATATTTCCCTTTTTTCTTCAGACAACAATCATTTGGGATGCTCACACAGGGGAGGCCAAACAGCAGTTCCCGTTTCATTCAGGTTTTTACAAATTCCACTAGTATAGTTACTAATATTACATTGATCCTGTGAACCTGCTGTAACCTTTGTCTCTCTCTCTCTCTCTCTCTCTCTCTCTCTCTCTAGCACCAGCTCTAGATGTGGATTGGCAGAGTAACAACACGTTTGCCTCCTGTAGCACAGACATGTGCATTCATGTGTGCAAACTGGGCCAGGACCGACCCATAAAGACATTTCAAGGACACACAGTAAGAAGCATCTGCTCTTCCTGCAATCCTGCTGTTTCCTACAACTACAGTCTGCCAAAATGAGGGATATCAAACTTTTTATTTCTCTTTCTGCAGAATGAAGTTAATGCAATCAAATGGGATCCGACTGGTAATTTGTTGGCGTCGTGTTCTGATGACATGACTCTGAAGGTAGCATCACTATATTCATAAATGAAATGTTGTTTGCATATTGTTATAATGAGTCCGTCTGATCTGGGGGTCTAAAACAGTGCTGATTTCTATGTCTTAGATTTGGAGTATGAAACAGGACACTTGTGTTCATGATTTGCAAGCTCACAGCAAAGAAATCTATACTATCAAATGGAGCCCCACAGGTCCAGGAACCAACAACCCCAATGCCAATCTAATGCTGGCCAGGTAAGGTCCAGAACCTTTAATATTTTCAGCACCTGATGCTCTGTATATTAATGCAGTTTTCTAGCGAGAAGTGGATATAGATTTTTCCCCCAAAATGGATACTGAAACATTTTGAGCTTGTCCACTTCCAAAGGTACTTGACAATATGTTTGATAAGGTTGCATTGGCATAGGAGCAGCTACTCCAACAAAAACCTGCAGCTACTTGCTCTGTACAAATTACCCAATGTTGAGACACAGTCAGAGGTGCCATTTACACTAATGCATTTTAAAATGCATAGGTTGTGTCATGATTATGTCCCTAAAGCACCTTCCTCACCTTTAACCCACAAAAAATGGAATGTTTTAAAAATGCTGAAGACTCTGTTTTAGTTTGAAAATGCTGATGTTTTCAAGGTGTTCTAAAATAAAACCATGGCTGTCTACAATCACTGTTTCACTGGCCTCCTGGACTATTGCATATTGCTCCCTGCTTCATCAAGCCCTTTTCATTTTAAAGAAAATCTTGTTCAGATAAACACTATAAATGAGGACTTTTCCCTCAATCCCCGGGTCTGAATGCAGACTCAGTGCAGCAGGTCTCTTGCCCTGTCTATTTCAACCATTAGCCCTGCTGGTAATGTAGAGTATTTAGGCAAACACAGCAGCATGGCGATGTATCTAAATGTGAACGAACTCCTGATAAAAGACAATGCCAGCCATTCTCCAATTCTCGTACTGCTCTCCTGACAAAAATGCTTGCTGCACACGAACAGCTATGCTGTATTGGCCCTGACAGCATCGTGGGGAAAACATGCAACAAACCCTGTGGATCATTGAAACAAACACATTCGACCCTTCATGAACAGCTAAATACTGTGTGCTGTGGGTCCGTGGATGCGATCTCACCCAATAACAACATAGGGTCTCACAGCTTGTCACTGGCAGGCCTGTCTTGCCTTCGGAAAGTACGTGCAGTCAAGAATAATTAAGAAGCCGGCTCTACTCAGCTATGGATAATAATGAGAAACCGACGTGTCATCTTTGCACTTGCAGTTTTGCGCTACGTCGCCAATTTTGATCCCGCCCCAAAAATCATTATAAACCCGGAAGATGTAATTAGCTGACAAAAGCTCAAAATTATCCAGTTTACCCCACAATTACAGCTGAGAGAAGCTAACATTGTCTTAACTGATGCTCAACACACACAAATCTGTTAAAATCTAAAAAAAAAAAAAAAAAAAAAGTACTCAGGGTTTTGTGAACCTTTAATATAACACAATCGGTGAACTAAAGCTGGGACAACTATTGGTAAGGCCAATAGTAATGGGAACAGACTAGGACCAGTGGCATGAGTGTTTAACAAGACTTCTATGGTAGCATTGTACTCTTTCCAGCATAAACACTGAAAAAAAAAACATATTGGAAAATAGAAACCCCAATGCCTAGTAGGGCTGTGCGCTTAATTAAAATTGTATCGATTTCGCGATTTTGGACATGTACGATTTCTAAATCGCCTTACAGTATGATTTTTTTTCCGCAGTATGGTATTTCAACCAATCATAACGCAGCGTGCCTAAACAGAGCGTGAAAACAGGAGACTGTATAGCCTGCATATGCAGGGATGATGAATTCAGCACAGGAGGACTTGGTGCCAAAAAAGTCAACATCTGTGGTGAGGGATTAAGTTACTTTGGTTACAGGAAGGCTGATGTATGGCAAAACCAGGTAATTTGTATGTCAGTCATAAATTGCGTCTAAAAACTTGCGGAAAATGCAAGACCGTCGCTTCAACAATTTTAACGTCCTTTGCGGCTGCTCCTTCGTCATTGCTCAGCGACCATCAACTGTTCTCTCAGAGGATGACAACCTAACAAAACATTGTTAAAGTTCTGATACAAGTTTTGTGTATGGAGAGAATTATAAAGCACTTGGTGTTCGGTTTATCAGCTGTTCTTGTTATGTGACTCGCTGTGCGGCATTCTGAGAATTAAAATTTAAACTTTGTCTAAAAAAAAAAGAGATGTTTTCAGGTGGGTGCACCTGGAATACACACTAGTGATGGGTCGTTCATGAACGATTCGTTCATTTTGAACGAATCGTCAATATGATTTGGGAACTATGAGTCCTCTCAGGGAGTGATTTGTTCATCCACGTGTGCGCACATTTGTGCAGGTAGTATTGTTAATTTCAAGTCTTTATCACATTGGCAGAAGCCAATCATATGCGTTTAGAGCCGGAAAAAGAATTGATCTGCTCACCTCTCAAGTCCTCTATCGGGTCTGAGTCACTACTCGTTCATCACGGGCCAATCATACGCGTTTAGAGCTGGAAAAAGAATTGATCCGCTCACCTCTCGAGTCCTCTATCGGGTCTTAGTCACTCGTTCCTCACGGGCCAATCATACACGTTTAGAGCCGAAAAAAGAATTGAACCGTTCATCTCTCGAGTCCTCGGGTTTGAGTCATTCTGTCACGTAAACAACGAACGATCATGGCTCCTATCGGCTCAGACTGTGCATCAATTAAGATTATATTTGACTGTCAGTGTAACGTGAATGAAACCCTGACATTTAAAGATATGAAGAGGTGAGCTGAGCAAAGAGACAACATGCCTTCATAGACAAAAGAGCAGGTAAACATTGAATTATTCTTTTCTCCTTCTTATAGTATGTTAGTCTAGTTATGACATATTTGTCATGCAATCAACGTTTTGGGTTAGTTGTAGATGTGTTTGGAAGCAATTCGTAACATTTTAATAATATTTTGGCAAATTGAACCAAATGAACGAAATGACTCGAAAAAAGATTCATTCATCTTGATGAACGAGACTCAAAGATCCGAGTCAGTAAAATGATCCAAACTTCCCATCACCAAAACACACGCTTGCAACTCTCAATATATGCATACAATCCATGCGCCTACATTGAAATTAATGGACTTGTGCGTACAAAAGGCGAGATATGTGAATGGCCTATTTCACAGCAGCATCACAACGAGGTCTATGATCTATGCTTAAGAACAAGTCTGTAAACACACACGCAACTACTTCTGATATTTGGTCAAGCAGAACATCAGAGCCTTACGCCTGTTTCACACCGCAAGCGTCAGCGGCGCATGAGCAGAGCGTGAGCAGCGCGTTTGTCGAGCAGTAGCAGCACGCAGGCGTTTGCCTTTCACACCAGCTGCGTCTGCAGCGCGCAGCTCTTCGGCAGCTGCTGCAGAGATCAACCTATCTCTGTCTATTCTATCTAGTTATCCATGTCTCTCTATATACAAATACACTTTTTAAACTTTTCATCTGCACCAAGGCCCCTCCTATGCTGTTTCTTTAACCTGCAAATGTTTATTTTACTAATTTTATATATCAATTAGTACTGTATGCTTCTCAAGCTAACTTATATGAGAAGTGTCTACAGTCAGAGGACAATCACCTGTGATATCATGTCATTTGTTTTTTGATTATCAGGTTGCTGTAGACCTAGTTATAATCATATTTATACAATATAGTTATAATGATATTTATACATGATCAAACTAGTGTTAATTTCTCCGCTTCAGTGATGTCCAGCGGCAGAATAACAGCTCGTTAATTCATGCTCGTGCAGATGTTGAGACGGACAAAAGTAACTAATGCATGCCATTCTTTTACTTATTTTCGTGTTGTCAGATTCACAGAGCAAACAGCTCCCGGTAGGAATAATTCGAGTGAACATAAAACAAAGCCGATTAAAACTTTCTTGCTCTGCTCAGCTGCACAGAACACAGCGAGCTCACATCATCCAGCATGCGTGTCGCACTACACTACCCACAATACACTTCGCTATGGACTACAAATCCCGTAAATATTCCATTTCCCCTCTCCTACAACACTAGTGTGCAACTTAAGCAAAACTGATAGTAAAATTGTTTTACATTCGGTTTTGTAGTTCGGGCCTAAATAAATGTTTGTTGCCGTTTTTACTCGTTTTAAGTTCATTTGAATGACTATATATAAACCATTTGACATTATTAACGCATTTATTGGGTAAAATTGCTACTTTTTACTGTCATTTGATGTGTTTTGGTCATTATCAATGCACTGTCACTTTAATTGAGCGTGAGCAGCGCGTCAAAAATAGACCCAGCGCCGAAACTATCGCTGCACTGCTGCTTCGGCGACGCTCACGCCTCGCTCTGCCGCGCTGCTGCTGCGTGCGGTATGAAAGCTCTAATCTGTTAACATGGACGCCGAAAACACACGCGCTGCTCACGCGCCGCTGACGCTTGCGGTGTGAAACAGGCGTTAGTTGAGATTGACAGTGCGCTTGCATGCTCACACATACACACACATTTGTTTTGTCATGGGTCTGTTCTATAGACAATTTATTATAGCTTTACTAGCTGATTTTTATTCAATTTAGATTAAATCTGTTGTAGAGACATGTCAGAGACAGGTCTTTGATAAAGATCTAATTGTTTTTCTTTTGAAAAATGATTCAGATTCACACTGTAAACACAGATTCAGTCTGTCTGGGACAAAATCAGCATTAAAATTAAAATTGCAATATTGTTAAAAAAAAAAATCATGATGGTTTTTTTTTTGCCCATATCGCACAGCCCTACCTTCTTGCATTTTCAAAGTGCGATTGCCAGAGTAGCACAGAAGTTTAAATGCTTACAACAGGTATGAACTCGACACAGAAGTATAAATCTGACTTAAGATGTGAGCATGACAAAAACCAGGTTCATTTGTCCTTGGTCAGAAGCAGCATGAATGCTTTAAGTGTATCTAAAATAGCTATTAATTAAAAATAGCTGAGATTCGTCATTCTTGCTGCAACCAGAGGTCTTTATCAGATTCTAATGGGCTTTAATTGCCTTTAGTCTTCAGCACACTCCTGAGGTTGTACATTAATGAATGTCTTGGACAGCCTTATGCATATTCACTACTGCTAATTATAGACAGGTCTGTATCATCCAGTCGGATCACCCGGCTGAGGTTTTGTCATTTGGTTGAAGAAGCTGGTCAAATTAAAGCTTAAACATTAAATATTTTGCATAAAACAAATAGATAAGGTCTACTGTAACTTAAAGTAAGAATAAACAATACTGACTTTGATTAACATTATATATATATATATATATATATATATATATATATATATATATATATATATATATATATATATATATATATATATATATATTGGTAAGTGTGGCATCCACAATACAATATGCACTGATCACTACAGTAAAACCTACTTGTTCTTTTCCAACACTTCTAGTGCTTCCTTTGACTCCACTGTTCGGCTTTGGGATGTAGATCGAGGCATCTGCATCCACACACTAACCAAACACCAGGAGCCCGTGTACAGTGTGGCCTTCAGCCCTGACGGACGCCATCTAGCCAGCGGCTCTTTCGACAAGTGTGTCCACATCTGGAACACACAGGTAAGCCCGAGCACTCTCTCAATTATCCCATTCAAACAGTTCAGAAGCTTGACCTGAACTGTCTGTCAACATCATTTCCACAGACTGGTGCTTTAGTCCATAGCTACAGAGGGACAGGGGGCATTTTTGAAGTTTGCTGGAATGCAGCAGGAGACAAAGTAGGAGCAAGTGCGTCGGACGGCTCTGTAAGTACTATTTTACACTGCAACTCTGGGTTGGTTTACTTCTAGAATATACAAATTTACTCACCACATTGGCAACCAAGATGTTAACTTCTTCTGTGGAAACAAAATAAGGGTCTCCATACAGTTGAGTGGCAAAAGGTGGAACTTCCAAACTGCAGGTTTAATGCTTCTTTGAAGGGATCAAACCAATGAAAACATTGTTGTGTAAATAGCCTGTTTACACTGAACGCAATGGTTTAGTACGTTAGGCATTTATGTTCGTTTAAACTGTCAAAAGTATCAAAAAAGTAATCCATACTGTTCAACTTTTTTGGCACTCTTTTTAAAAGGTACCTAGCACAACAGAATGGTACCAAAAGCGTAGTGCTAGACTCTAGGGCTGGGCTGTATATTGGGTCCTGGGGATATATCGATATGATTCCCCAACGTGATGCGGTATTATCTATTATCGTTCATATCGAAATGGTTTAAGGCCACACTTGAGCATTCTGCGCGAAACAGAACATTCCAAGGTAATATGCAAGCTCCACTTGCAGTACCGGTGTGGTGAGAAATCTATCTGACTCCCTAGGCAAATCGGAGTCCCCTCACGTGCACGCACGTCACACAATGCCTGCAGCTGTCACAGC